GACCAACCTGGGCAACATAGTGAGAACTTATTTCTACAAAAAGAAAAAAAAAATTAGCTTCGCGTGGTGGTGACTATAGTCCCAGCTATGGGAGGCTGAGGCTGGAGAATCACCTGGCTGTGGTGAATTGTGATTGTGCCACTGCACTCCAGAATGGGTGACAGACACCCTGATTAAAAAAAAAAAAAAGCATTCATGGTATAAATTGGCTGAATATTCTGACTGATGAACACTGCTAACAAATAGATTTTGGGCAGAAAATGCCAGCTGCTTGCCAGTATGCTTGGGCATCTGAAGCTCAGTTGAGGACAAGGTTGAAAATAACTGTCAATAATTAATAACTGTCACTTTCATTCAGAATCAGATAGATTTCAACCATCTCTGGGAGGATAAAAGACTTCAAACCTGAGACATTTAGGCTCAAAGCAGCAGCAACATAAGAGTTAACAGCTTTAAAGATGCAAAATAAGAATACCCTGAAATGAATCTTGGCTAGCCATTAATTAAAATGCAGGTAAATTCCCTCGTTTATAAGGTGCACATTTCCATTTTTTAACCTCTAAAAACTGCTTTCATTCATCTGACAATAAGACAAAACTAGGAGGCTTTTGAGAGTCATTTTCATTTTTATTCCACATTAGACAAATGAGCTAACCAGAGGTTAGAATGATTCTCTGTATTCTTAAAATCACAGGAAATATATTTCTACCTCCCCTTTTTTTCTGATTTTGGAGTAGCATTTCCAATTATTTTGGTATTAGTTTAGGGTAAAGTAAAATAAACCATGGAAGGCAGTGTATAAGCAACAAGGAGGGAGCCACTCTTTGGAATCTAGTAGTGATTAGCTTACAAAGAGTAACATGGCTACAGCACTCACAAGGCTGATATTAGCTATATATTTTGAATATTTATTGTTACTGGATACCAAAGAAGTGAAGAGCGGTCCCCAAGAATCTCCCATTCCTATGATCCAGTAACTTCTCAAAGACTTTGAAAAAGCCCAAGTCCTTGCTTTCTGGAAATCCTTTTTGTACATCCAGGAAATGCAAACAATGCACCCACCTCTGCCTCTTTGTAGGTATGTGCTTTAACACCAGGCTGCTCTGGGCACTGATGGATTGTGAACTAGGAGGATTCCTGAAAATACTGAACTGACCCGTTAGCCGCCTCTGCCTTATATATGTCCAGGTGAGTCTCTGAGAGTAGACTACTGCACTTCTCATCCAAATTAAGGTGGACATGGGCATATTCAACCTTGTCTGCACATTCAGCAAGGGGAAATTTGAATTCTGTCTTTAAGTAGCTTTGTGTTAGGCAGGAGGAAAAATAATATTCAACTGCGATTCTGAGGTAGGTAACAGACAGGAATGAGAGAAATACAAGACCACCAAGGCTCTAACATCTGTCCACCCTTTTAGTTTGTCCTCATAATACCCCAGCAGCATAAGCTCAGTATCTCCAGTTCTTAGCACAATGCTCCCAAGTTCAGTGTCAGCACTGCCCCTCTGCAAGGCTGTCTTCTAGCATCCTGGGATCATCTCACTGACAAGTGCTATCACATTGTGCTGTGCACACACCACAACTCTCACCTGCTCCATTATGAATGACTATGGGGACGTGTCTATCTTCTGTCATGATATACCGTTATACATCTATAAATGCTTCTTGAAAGAATGGAATATAAATGCTCTATTTCCAAGTGCTTTATCGCAAAACTAGGCAAAGATCCATTGACTTTTGACTTTGTAAACTTGGAAAAGTCAACCCATTCAAACCTCTATTTTGCCCTACCCACCATCATATTACTAAGATGAAGAAGTCCACTGTAAATTCATGTTACTATTATCCCCAGTATGAATGAGCTATTTGAACCTGAACATTATGAGCACTCAGTATAGTGCCTGGCCAGTAGAACAAGGCATTCACTAGACACTGGACTCAGACATCACATTTCTTTAAGCCACAGGAGGAATGCAGACCCCAGAGTGTTTGAAAAGCAGACACTCTCCCACCACTGGCACAGTTGAAGCCAATCATAAAATAAATATCAATACACAAAAAATTTCAGGACAGATGGAATCAAAGGATTCTGAAGCCAGAAAGGAAGCTAGGAAGAGCACCTGAACCAGCAGGTTCAGAGTTCATCGCTTCATCCCACCCTGCAAAGGTCCAGGGCAGAGGCAGTCCAGCTGGTATACGAGTTGATCCTCAACCCTCTTCTGCTTTGCACGCCTCTCCAAGACCACAGGAGGAATATCTGACCATTCTGTGGGCTTAATACCACTTACACAGCCCTTCGGGTCAGAGAGCAGGATTCAGTGGTCCTCTCTAAAAAAAAAATACATTAGAGAGAACGCTAATTGCTTTTCTTCATACAGTGTCTCTCCTCCATCTCCTAAAAAACGTGTGTTTCAAAAGGTCAGAATGGTTGGGGTTAGAAATAAATTGACTCTCACTCTGTTTAGCATATACACACAGCAAAACATTTTATGACACCACAAATTTTCCAAAGGAATTATTTCTTCCTCTACTTTCTACCTACCTCCTCTGAAATGCCAAGAACTTGTCTTAGAACTAATTATCTAGAATACTCTTCCCCTTTTCATTAGGTTTGTGTTAGCATACAGCTTTTAAAAAGTCTAGTTGGCCGCAGGGCTGGACAACAGATGGCCACCCAGAAATCAGACACACAAAGGTGACTTACTCAGTATGCATATGCTGACAAGAGTCCTATTTTGGGGATACTCTGAAAATCCTTGACCTACTGTAAAACCCAAGAGGCAATTCACAGTAGGAACAATTATCATAACCTGATTCCCTGCCTAAAGCAAGACATATCACTTTTAACCAGCCATGGAGATGCCAAAAGCATAAAATATTGTCAGCCTACAATTGCTCTTTTGCAAAGAAAACAAAACACCCTCCCAAAACAAACAAACAAGCAAGCAAACCCACCAGACAGCACATAAGCTTTACTTAGCTGTTTCCTAGCAGTTTAAGTGGTCTTTAAAACTAGGTGGATAGGGCTCGGTGGCTCAGCCTATAATCCCGTGCCTTTGGGAGGCTGAGGTGAGTGGATTGCCTGAGCCCGCGGGTTCGAGACCCGCCTGGGCAGGCGAGACCTCATCTTTACAATAAATCAAAAAATTAGCCGGGCGTGGTAGCGCACGCCTGTAATTCCGGCTACTCGGAAGGCTAAGGTGGAAGGATCACTGGAGCCCAGCAGGTCAAGGCTGCAGTGGCCGGGAGCGGCCACTGCACTCCAGTCTGGGCGACAGAGAGAGACTCCAACTCAAAAAAAACACAAAAAAAGCCCCCCAAAACTACGTGGATATCAGCTCCATACTTTGTTTCTCCAAAAAGAACTAATAGCAAATTAATTTTCTTTTCTTAAAAAAAGGGAGTTTCTTTTTACCTTTATGAGGAATTAACAGCTGTAAACAATATCTAATTAAATACTATCTATAATGAGTAATTTTCAGCTAAGACTTAAGTTCCTCTTAGCTTTGACATTTTAACTGAATTTCAGTTGAACCTTAAGAAATATTAACTATAAGCTTATAATCGCCCTATTGTAAGACTTATAAGTCACATTCTCTATTTTTCTTGCCTGACTAAAAATGGCTGAAGGATTTTCTTCACTATGGAGTCCAGAGACATTTAAGTCATAGTACTTGAATAAAGAGATCTGAAAACTGTTCATCATCTACAAAGTCATACAAGAGATTCCAGTTCAAGTTGACATAAAAAACATAAACTAGATTTAAAGTGCTATTTAAAAAACAAAAGTACAGTTTGTTTTGGGGCAATTAAATATTTCATTTTTGAGGACTCAACCTTAAAAATAACGAAAAACATATAGGATTATCACTCTGCAATTGTTGTGTTTTACTCTCTTTATCTAAGAGTGAGTTAGCTGGTAAAATTTACCTTAAGACGTTTATTTAGACTTAAGCAGAGGCTTCAGAGGCTACTATGCCAATTGGTTAGTCTAAACCCTCTTATGTTAAATAGGAACTTGTTCCCAGTACTACTTTTAAGTCATGTCTAATTCACCTTCCTCCTTTAGAACTGCATAGGTTTGTTTTAAATATTTTAAGTTCCTGTAGTAAAATAGAGTTTGCTAAGAGTAGAGGTACTCTGGTTAATGATCAACATGGTGTGCCCAGAGGAAAAGCCAGCATTACTCAACATGAATGCAATCTTTATCAGCATAAACTGAGCCATTTTTTACTCAATAAAAAAGCTAGTCCAAGAGAAGGTCTCATTCTATAAAGATTTATCATTTCCAAATCACAGTGAAAGGAACTTGAGTAATTTACCAATTTTGTTTTCTATTATGTGCCTTGGAGATACCTCACTAAAAATCGGTATCTAACACAACAGAATGACATTTGCAGAATGTAATATTGTAGTGACAGTACTGAGGTTGATTGTTACAGACTATTTAACTCTGAATATTAAATGGTTACATCTTAATTATTTATACAGAACAAAGGTCCAGTAACATAAAAATAGAGAACAGCATCTGAAGTGTATCTTATTCAATGTTCAGAGATCAAGTTCACCACTCTTTCCATTATCTTCCACAGCAAGTCCCTGTTCATACAGAACTCTGATGACAATGTCACTCTGGTGTTTCCTCAAGCTACTGTATGAAGAGGACGCTGAAGGCCATCACCACACAGCACACCGCAACATAGGGGCTCTTCCGCTCACCTGTGGAGAAATGGAAACATTCATGGGGATTCAGTGAGCAGCTGGCCTGGGCATGAGAGGGTGATTACTCATTGAGGGAGGGAGACATAAGAGTCTAGATGAAGTTCTTGCCCAGGAGGCCCACAGATTTGGGGGGTGGTATCAAAACAAGAAATAGGTGCTACGCAGAAACAAATACAATTGGGGGGGGAAGTCCTGAACACACTATTTCTGTGCCACTGCGTGAATACAGACATTAAAATACAACGCAGACTAGAGGACAGACATCCAAGAAACAGGAGCTCAAACAACTTAATGGAGGCTAATAAAGAATATTTTCTTCCTATAAAAAGACAATTTCTTCCTTTAAAAAAAAATCAAACATACAGTTTTTTTCTTCACTGGTGGCAATTCATGACACTTATGGCAGGGAGGGGAAGTGTTCACGGATGAAAATAAAAAGAAGAGGTCAGAAAAGCTGCCACAAAAAATGAACAAAATAGGCTGGACTCAGTGGCTCAGCCTGTAATCTTGCACTTTGGGAGGCCGAGGTGAGTGAATTGCCTGATCCCGCGGGTTTGAGACCCGCCTGGGCAACCTGGCGAGACCTCATCTCTACAATAAATCAAAAAATTAGCCGGGCATGGTAGCACGTGCTTGTAGTTCCAGCAACTTGGAAGGCTGAGGCGGAAGGATAGCCGGAGCCCAGCAGGTTGAGGTTGCGGTGGCCGGGAGTGGCCACTGTACTCCAGTCTGGGTAACAGAGTGAGACTCCAACTCAAAAAAAAAAAAAAAAAAAAAAAAGGAAAATGGACAAAATAAAATGCTTAATAAAAACAAGTTACCATCTTTGTATGATGACCTGGGTCAGAAATGCAGAAATAAGGACCACCACCCATGCATAAGTCATTTTTTCACAAGTATTTAACGATTACTTGTGTTTGGAGGCTTTTCTCTGTGTAAAGGAAATCTGTGGTTGACTTGTGAAACTGTCTTGCAAATAGACAGAGACCCTATGATTGTCAGTTAATCAAATTCATCTTATTTTTTCCTGTTTCTCCAATAATTTCAAGGCTGTACTAACCAATAAGGCACCAGACACTTACATGCTGCCTCAGGGAATTTTAATAAAAAAGGAAAGAGAAAGATATGACTTTCAGAAGTGATCTGGGGTGTGGATCTGGTGTTCTCTAGCAGAGGTAGTCTATAGTCCCCTCACTTACGTTTTTCTATCAGGTTTAAAGTCAACTCTTTCCTGGTGGACTACGTTCCTTAATTCACTTAGCAATTAACTACCTCTGGAAATGTTCCTCTAGGCATCCGTATTAACCACATTCTCTAGGTCATTTGCATTTTCAAGCTTTCTCACTGACCTCACCCCTGTATTATTGAGCTCATGTCTGTGTGTCTGCTCACTTCCCATAGCAAATACACATTAACATCAAGCATTTGGTGTTTTTCTGAAGGTGCTTTTTCTATCCATGGACATTTAATGGACTGCTTTCCAGATAAAGAAAAATCTAGAAAGCAAGATAAAGTGTTTTTACAATGTTATCACCTCACTGAAAAAAAAAAAACTTTTAAAATTAAAAAAAAAAAATCTTGGGTTACAATTTTTACACAATGTCAATTCTTTTAGGGTAAAAAACTCAAGTCATCAAACAAAATAACCCCATTTTTACATATATTTCAGGTAGATTTCCTAAGCAAACTTGTCACTCTTGCTTAGGTAGTCATTGCCTAATATATGATTAAATACCGAAAAGAAGAAATTAATACTATCCTAAGTTTTCCATCTGGCAGAAATTAATTTTTGAGGAAGTTCTTTTTTCCTCATCCTCCAACTTAGAAATGCTATGATTTACATATGGGTTTCATTTTCCTGTTTTTAATTTTCTTAAAAGAACCTGCCATGTGGTAGAGCTAAACATCTTTGGTTGAACTTGGGTAAGAATGTTCCTTTTTGTCTGGTTTTAGGTCTGTGTAAGTGAATGTAAAACAGTTGCTGTACTGTGATGTGTAACATGATCGGACGATTTGGCCGGGTCTTTTCCCATTACTACTACACCCTTTCTTTGTGGGCATATTCTGTGTTGAGATAAGGAGGAGCACATGCGTGAGGAAGCACCATATCAGCATTGTCTTCCGAGTCACTTTGACAAAATGAAAAACTAATACTTTAACAGAATTGGCAAGAATGAACCTTTTAACAGAACCATTCAACCGATGGCATTCATGTGGTCAAGGGAGGAAGTAATAAATGAACAAATAAGAAAGGGTACTATTTATAATTAGACATAAAAATAGATCACACCACAGGAAGCCATTAGCAAAGCCACACTCCAGACATCTTGGACTTGTAGCTGCACTCTCTTCTCTCCAAGCAGCCAGTGAACAAAGGGTCGCTTGGGCTAGGAACACAGCTGTACAACACACTCCCATCACATAAATTAATGTAAAACACCCTAGTATTTTCTCTGTATATTAGCAACCCAATGATAACTGAGGTGAGACTGCAGCCTCCAAGCCAGGCCTCCTCTTCCATTTTGTTCTCTCTCTGCAGTTGATGTGCAGTAATCTTACCACTCTGTTCCTTGGCCATATTCTTTTATTTCCTTTTCAGGTGTCTTGTCTCTGAAGCATGCAGTTTGGTTTATATATACATATTTACATTTACCATTAACTCTCAGTGGTAGCCGTTGTGGGTGCATTTTATCTTTCTTTTTTTTTGAGTTGAAATCTCACTCTGTCGCCCAGACTGGAGTGCAGTGGCTGCTCCCAGCCACTGCAGCCTCGCCTGCTGGGTGCCGGTGATCCTTCCGCCTCAGCCTTCCAAGTAGCTGGAACTACAGGCGCGCACTACCATGCCTGGCTAGCATCTTATATCTTTATCATTCTCTTCTTGGTTCTTTTTGAAGTACTGAAGATTTCTTTTGTCATTTCAGTATTTACAGCTGTTGTGTGACAGAGTGCCAGATAAATCTGCACCACCAATCTAAATTTAGCCAGCCCTCTCAATTCCAGTACACTGACATTTCGAGCCAGGCAGTTCTGTTGTGAGAGGCTGTACTGTGCATCCTAGGATACTCAGCAAAATCTCTGACCTACAAAAACTGTCTCTAGACAGTGCCAAAGTCCTCTGACAGGTAACTACTTTTCTAGGCTATACCTGTGATTTTTGCCAAAGTCAATCATGCTTCTTATAAAAGAAAGATTCTCATGCCTATCACCATAAGAGAGAACAAAGCATGATAAAGGACACTGAGGAAGGCCAGTTCAGTATGTGACCAGTACAGTAGTTTCTTCAGAAAATAAAGTCTGTTTCAACAGTCACTAACAAATGAGGGCCTTGGAAAAGACACTTTTCTATAAGCCCTTTATGCATCTACTATCATCTTCCACAGCAAGAAACCTACAAGGCCAAAGAATCTTATGATATCATCACAGATTCAGAAAGGACTTTCAGATAATTTAGTATTATGTTTCCAACTTCCACTGTTAATGGATCTTGCCTATTATTTACAGTTCAAGGGGGCCAGGCATGGCAGCACATGCCTGCAATCCCAGAACTTTGGGAACCTGAGGTGGGAGGACTGCTTGAAGCCAGGAGTTCCAGACCAGCCTGGGTAACATAGCATGACATGGTCTGGAAGGAAGGAAGGAAGGAAGGAAGGAAGGAAGGAAGGATGTCAGCTGCATGTAGTGATGCACACCTATAGTTTCAGTTACTTGGAAGGCTGAGGTGGGAAGATTCCTTGAGTCTAGAAATTCAAGGCTGCAGTGAGGTATGATTGCATCACTGTGCTTTTGTCTGAGTGACAGAGCAAGATTCTATCTCTCCAAAAACAAGAAAAAGAGAGCTTCCGTTCTATGAAGGCTGGGAGAGGTGAGGAAGCTGCAGAAGAAAATTTGAGGTCAGCAGAGGTTGTTAATAAGATTTAAGGAGCTGTCCCATAACATAAAAGTGCAAGGTGAAGCAGCAAGTGCTATCGGAGAAGCTGCAGCAGATTCTCCAGAAGATCTAGCTGAGATCACTGAGGAAGGTGGCTACACCAAACAACAGATTTTCAGTGTAGATAGAACAGCCTTCTACTGGAAGATGTTATCTAGGACTTTCATAGCTGGAGCGAAGTCATTGCCTGACTACAAAACTTCAAAGGACAGGCTGACTGTCCTTTTGGGGGTAATGTAGCTGGTGACTTCAGTAGAAGCCAATGCTCATTTACCATTCCAGAAATGCTAGGGCCCATACGAATTATGCTAAACCCACTCTGCCTGTGCTCTAGAAATGGAATAACATAGCCTGGATGACAGTATATCTGTTTACAGTATGGCTTACTACACATCAGTGTTCTCACTCATAAGCAGACCTTGAACAATTATAATACTATAAGAAACGGGTTGGCAGTAGTGAGAAACTGTCAGGGGAGGAGGAGCGGGATTGGCAGTTGAAGGAAACTGCTAGGGGAGGAAGGGGCACACCTCATTAACAATGGTACCTGCATAATCACCATTTGTATACCTAACCCTGAATTGTACCCCACATCTTTATTATAAAAAAATAAAATTAAAAAAAAAAAAGAAAGAAAGAGGTCACTGCAGATGTGGTGGGAATATCAAGAGAACTAGAATTAGATGTGGATGGAGCCTGAATGTGTGACTAAATTGCTGCAATCTTATGATCAAACTTGAACGGATGAAGAGATACTTCTTAAGAATCAGCAAAGAAAGTTGTTTCTTGAGATGGAATCTACTCCTGATGAAGGTAATGTGAACGCTGCTGAAATGACAACAAAAAATATTGGTTTTCCATAAACTTAGCTGATAAAGCAGAGGATTTAAGAGGATGTATACAAATTTTGCAAGAAATTCTACTGTGGGTAAAATGTTATCAAATAGCATCAGATACTACAGAGATCTTTTGTGAAAGGAAGAGTCAATTGACGTAACAAACTTCATTGCTGTCTTATTTTAAGAAACTGCCATAGACACCCCAACCTTTAGCAGCCACTGCCCTCATCAGTCAGCACCATCAACAGTGAGGCAAGACTCTCCACCAGCACAAACATTAGAACTTGCTGAAGAGTAAGAACTTGCTGAAGAGTCAGATAATCATTAGCATTTTTAGCAATACAGCACTTTAAAATTAAGGCACACAAAGTTTTTTTAGATATAATGGTATTGCACACTTAATAGACTACTAACGCAACATAATTTTTACAAGTACTGGGAAACCAAAAGATGAGGTTTGGTGTGACTTGAGTTTTATTGAAAAACCAAACATGCAGTATCTCCAAGGCATGTCTGTATTACAAGAACTTAGTGGATACTTTCTAGTCACTAATCAAGTTTGTTTCTGTTATGGACCATCTTCTAGATTTTCCATGTCTCTGAGAAGTTGAAAACCAAATTAAATATAACACTCCAAAGGGAACACAGTTTATCTAAGGAAGATGACTCTAAAATGCTCCATTCTATTTAAAGGGATTAGTTTGGGGAATTTAAGTTGTTCTTAGACTAGCTAACTAGATTCAATGTCAAATGTAGAAAACTTTTTTTATTATTAAAGCCTAATGGCATTACGAATGAAGCAAGTAGTTATGGCTGGGCTCAGTGGCTCAGTCTGTAGTCCCAGCACTTTGGGAGGCTGAGGTGACTGCATTGCCTGAGTCCACGGGTTTGAGATCAGTCTAGGCAACTTGGTGAGACCTCGTCTCTACAACAAATAAAAAAAAAATATTAGCCGGGCATGGTAGCATGTGCCTGTAGTTCCAGCTACTTGGAAGGCTGAGGCAGAAGCATTGCTGGAGTCCAGCAGGTTGACGCTGGGGTGGCCGTGAGCGTGCCACTGAACTCCAGCCTGGGTGATGGAGTGAGACTCCAACTCAAAAAAAAAGGGTATAATCTATTGTTCAATACTGATGAGTTACGGCAATAAAGTACATTTTAATGCACTCACTTAACAATCACATGAGAGTCTACTGTGCTGGGAAGGGTGCTAAATGTTACATATACAGGAGGACTGGAGAATAATAGTATACTGTTATCTATATCTATAAACAATTGTTTGATGCTATTAATCTTATTATGAAGAGTCAGAATATAACCATACGTGCATTAACTTTAGTGAAACAGAACAAAGTTTCATGAGGACCACATGGGTTCAACAGACAAAACGTCAAACATGCCATGCCTGAAATAGGGCACTCACACAAGTATGTTTAGATGGCTGCTGCAAAGAAGGGAGATTTACCCACAGTTATCAAAATGGCACCAATATGCAGAACAGCATGCTCTATACTATGAATGTGTGCTTTAAACTGTATACATCTGTTTGAAATCTCCTCAAAACAGGAATGCCTGGTATCTGACATTTGAATTACAGAGACTTTTCGTATATTTTCCATTTTCCTCTCTGATGATGAAGTATTTACCAAATCTAGTTTTAAATAACAACATAAGGAAAAGAGCTTGGTGTAACTTATAAACTTTTGCAAAAATGCATAAATTTGGGAAGGCAGCCCTTTTAAAACTGACATTTGATTTGTAACAATATAACACAGTAATTGATCAGCAATTTACAGCTAAATGGAGGGAGATTACAGACACTTACCAATTCTAGCACACTTCCAAAATATACCCAACAATCTGTATAGAAAAAAAAAAGAAAAAATGTCGCCATTGATTACCGAGAAAGGTAAGTCATTCTCTGAACATCACATAGATAATTAATTATATACAGGCTTATTAATCTTTAATGCTTTGCCAAACCTGGAATTTGATTGATATCAAGCCACCATTTATATAAGAAAGCAGGAAATAATAGCATACTAACTATCAATGTATAGACACTGCTATGAACTGGAATATGTGTGGTATCACAGTCAAACCCTGGGTAAATGAATAAGAGCAGCAAAAATTTGCATAACAGTTTATTTATTCAGTCAATCTAAGTAGTGTACTAACAAAAACAGAAAATGTATATGCCAGTTAAATTAAGCATTAATTGACAAAATGATAAATGAACATGCTTTGGATGAATTTTGATATTAAAATACTATTATGCTGAGAAAATTAATTTCTTACAGAATGTAGTCATATACTTAAATAATCTGTAATCATGAACTCTCATGAAGGTATTTACTTAACTGTGTCACTCACTAAGGAGGAAAAAATATGTGCCTATGTTTTCTTTTTTTTTTTTTTTGAGTTGGAGTCTCACCCAGACTGGAGTGTACTGGCCGCTCCCGGCCACCGCAGCCTCGATCTGCTGGGCGATCCTCCCGCCTCAGCCTTCCAAGTAGCTGGAACTACAGGCATGCGCTACCACACCCGGGTCATTTTGATTTATTGTAGAGATGAGGTCTCACCAGGTTGCCCAGGTGGGTCTCGAACCTCCGGACTCAGACAATTCACTCACCTCAGCCTCCCAAAGGCACGGGATTACAGGCTGAGCCACTGAGCCCGGCTTGTTTTCAATATAAGTAGAAAGTTTCCTAGTTTAGGGACACTATATGAGTTCACTAAATATGGCATTTAAAGCACATATTCTTGAAGTAAGAATCGGAATGAAGGTGTTATTTCAATTCTATAATGAATATATCATGAGTCACATATTGTATGGATATATCACTTATTTGGCATGTATGAAAAGTACCACCTTAAAAAAAAAAACTGAGCCATGAAAGAATAGCAATAGTCGAAAAAAATGAAAACACTGTAGACACCACTTTGTTGGTCTGACAAAAGAACAGAATTCAAAATGATGGTACACGTAGTTACAAATTAAGATAGATTAACAAAAATCACAATACTTAAATCCAGGGAAATTTATATTACTTTTTTTTTCTTTTTGCTAGGAGAGATAGCTAGCTAATGAATCATTATTTTTGTTAAGACTGAAAGAAAATTCTGGTTCAACTGAGTTCTATATATGTTCTTCCTCCGAAGTATAACTTCCTGACTTCAAAGTGAAATGTCTTTTAGTTCAAATTAAATGAAATAAGCAAAAATGCAAGTTTATTTAAAAGGATAGACAATTGGACAGGTAAAACACTTTTACTCTAGTAATAAAAGGACAAAAGCCACATGCGTTCCTGAAAGTAACCTAAGCTAAAATCAAGGCCAGGCTGTCTTCGGTTGATTCTACTTCATGGCTGTACGCCATGAACAGGTTGTTTCTTCTCTCCAACAACAGCACCCGCCCTCACAGGGATATCAGGAGGAAGAAAGGAGTGGTAATCCGGCAAGTTCTCAGCATGGTGATGTCCATGTGCCATGCTCAGTACGTGCAGGCTACAGCACATGCGATAGAAACTCCAGAGAGCAGTTAAAACTGGCGAACACTTCATTAAAAATAGAAGACAACAGGTTAGGCATGTGCAGAGTTGTGATTCCTTGATTCTCAAACCTGCTGATTATAACCTGCATTAATGCTTGGAAGCTACTCTGCTTAAAGGAGTGACCCAAGGGACCAGGGCAGGGATTTCATGCTGGGAGCTTAGTGCACCACAGTAGTCTGAAACCCTGAGATCACAAAGTCAAAGTCTTTTCATGTCTAATGTTCTTAATGATTACTTAAGTTATCATTAAGAAATGGGAGCAAAGCCGGGCTCGGTGGCTCAGCCTGCAATCCTGCTCTTTTGGGAGGCTGAGGAGAGTGGATTGCCAGAGCCCGCGGGTTTGAGACCCGCCTGGGCAGGCGAGACCTCATCTCTACAATAAATCAAAAAATTAGCCGGGAGTGGTAGTGTGCGCCTGTAATTCCGGCTACTCGGAAGGCTGAGGCGGAAGGACTGCCGGAGCCCAATAGGTCGAGGCTGCGGTGGCCGGGAGCAGCTACTGCACTCCAGTCTGGGTGACAGAGTGAGACTCCAATTCAAAAAAACAAAAAAAAAAAAACCAAAAAAACCCCCCAAAACAAACAAACAAAAAAGAAATGGGAGCAACACAGCATACTAAAAGTTTTTCAAATGAATACAGAGTCCTAATTTGGTGACTCAGAGACTTATCAGCACCACTTTGGTTTTGTCCATGTATTTCTCTACCTAGATATATTTGTATAATATCCCAAATGATACTTATTTTAAAAAAATGAGAACTCTGTTAGCTGACAAAAACCAATGCAATTATGCTGTTTAGTTACTATGGCTGATAATGCTATTGGGTTTATGAAGGTAGGAAAAAGACAAAGTAGCAATATTTTTCCTGCTGCTTACTTCTGTATTATTTGAAACAGTTAAAAAAAAAATGAAGTTACACAGTGAAGTCATCAAGAACTTGTTTTATCCAAACTGTCTAAGTATCTTTACTTAAGCATGTATACTCTCACAATAATGAAAGAAAAGCTTATTATGAATATCATAAAAACACATAGTTGTGACAGAAAGATATAGGGCCTGTAAAAATTTATTTTATAAAAAAAATTTCTTAGGTACAAATCAAAATAAAATGGTGCTTAGCATTTGTATAAGTAGAAACAAAGATAAAGAGTTTTTAAACAGTTGGCAGTGTTAGTATATATTTTAAAATGTAAAAGCAAGGCATGCTTTTTCTGGTCTTTATGTTGGAGAAATATACTACCACTCAACCTTTACTGTTAGGTTGGCAGCCCTGAGAACTCCTTTTTGAATGTGGCATGTTATGAATGTATTCCTGCTCCCACGGAATGAGGAGCAGACATTTCTACATGCGACCTAGTCTGAAGAGAGAATTTTTATCACAGCATCAAAAAAGCATAAGTATTGTATTCTACTAATACATGGTTACTGCTTAATGAAATAAACATTTAAGTATCTTATTAGATAGACACTAGGTATTATATTAAAATTCCAGGCAGGTGCTCAATGGGAATAAGCATTTACTGCTTTAACTTCAAGTTCACAGTTGGGGCTGCAGAAGGGAAAGAGGAAATGAAGCTGTCTGCTTGGGTGGAAAGACTTCATGCACAGCTAAGCAACAAATAAGATGACATCATTCAACAAATGGATGAAGTAATGAAGAATAAGTTCCATAGGATTTTAGTGAAAAAGGTGTAATGAAGAGAAGACAATGTCTCCAAAGGAAATGGGGTGTTATTATAAAAGCTGACGGGCCACTAACATCTGTTTTCACCTGTGGTAGGCTAAATACATAAAATCCCTCATATGTTTTTCAGCCCAACATATTTCAGATCACTTCTGAAATTTATCTTTTCATTTAGTAAGACATTATGAATACTCAGTGCTTTGATTTGTAAAAAGAGAATGTGAAAAGTTATTACAAAACCAAAACATACAAAGGAATTAAATTATCTAATAATATTAATGGTAATTTATACTTCATGTCTATATGAACTAATTTGGGTGTTGAGATGTCATTAGTAACATACCCAGTTTTATTTCTGTCCAGGACGCTCGGTGCCAAGGAGCGGATGTAAGCACAGGTACATATAAGCAGCAAGATTACAGTCAACAGACTCTGAAAATTGAAAATGGCTGACTAAAAAGAAAAAAGAAAAATTATTGTCACAAGAGAAACTGCAGAGGCAAAAATACCTGAAAATTCCATATTAAGATGATGCTTGTATTTCTTAGAAAAATAGACAGGATAACGTTTCTCACAATACCTAGGACCAGAAGCATGAGGTGTTCTAAAGTCTTCCAGCAGTTAATAGCTGGCTATCTGACCTCAGTGGACCTACCAGTCTCTCCAAGTCTCTGTTTTATAAGCTGGGTGAAGAATGGAGATAGACTAAATGTTGACTAAAGTTTCTTTTAAATCCTAAACTTCTCCTAGGATAAATACACTTTAAGCTACCATGTTCCATGAGTTAACAAATACTAGGCGATTAGACTTTGGTGAAAGAAAGCACCTCCTCTTCCACTGTTGTGTCTTTAAAAGCTATTCATCACAGGTTGAACATCCCTAACCTCAAACCCCAAATGCTCCAAAGAGTGCCAAAATGACATTCAAAGGTCACACTTTAACATTTCAGATGCTCAATGGTAAAGATACTTCAAATGCAAAGTCCAAAATCCTAACCACTCTGGTTCTAAGCATTTCAGATAAGGGATACTGAAATTGTTTAGCTGTTTAACTCTTGTTCCAAAGTTAAAATTTAACACAAGAATCATAAGAAACTATGTTTCCACAGCGAAACAGAAAATCATAGATTTCCAGTTAAACTAAATGGAGGAAGACTTACTTTATTCAAAACTCAGTTCAAATGTCACCTTTCCAAGAAGTCTCCCTGAACCTATCTGCTTTCCTTCCTCTATTTTATGGAGTATTCTCTTTTCTACTCCCATAGCAAAGTGATGACTTCATTAATAATACTCATCCCCCAAGGTGGACGTTATGTTATCAGACCCTGACTCCCCGGCACCTGACAATATGACTGTCCATCAAGAGATGGTTGAATACATAATATTTCATCGTTACAGGTAGACAAAATATATCAGTCTCACACAGCAGCCAGCAATATGCTTATTTAGTAAACTTAGAATAACTTCCTAAAAAAGCCAGGAGTAAATACAAAGCAAAAGAGTTACAAAAAATTTTAATAAGGCAAAATTGGTACTTGCTGATGAGTGCTTACCTGAAAAGCCTTAAAAGAATCTAATGAGCTGGGCTCGGTGGCTCAGCCTGTAATCCCACGCCTTTGGGAGGTTGAGGTGAGTGGATTGCCTGAGCCTGTGGGTTCGAGACCCGCCTGGGCAGAGAGACCTCATCTCTACAATAAATCAAAAAATCAGCCAGGCGTGGTAGCGCATGGCTGTAATTCCAGCTACTTGGAAGGCTGAGGCGGAAGGATCGCTGGAGTCCATCAGGTTAAGGCTGCGGTGGTCAGGAGCGGGCACCGCACTCCAGTCTGGGTGAGAGTGAGACTCCAACTCAAAAAAAAAAAAAAAAAAAAAGAATCTAATGAAAACAATGACAGAGCTTAAAGAAATTGAGTAATGAGGCTGGGCACATAATTACTACATATACATCAATAGCCTTCATAATTATATTATTATTCAGGCAAAAGACATAATGGTAAGAATTCTATTTATGATAGTATCCAGAACAAAAAGCTAAAATATGTAGGAATAAGGTTAACAAGAAATGAGCCACATCACCATCACAGAAGAAAACTGACAGAACCCTTTGATCATTTCTGCCACAAAAGCCCTCCCCAGAGACAGAGATATGCCCTTGAACTTCTAACCCTGCACAACCATGAGCTAAATGAACCTTTAAAAAAAAAAAATTACCAATTTCAGGTATTCTTTTATAACAACACAAAATAGGCTAAGACAACTGGTATCCCAGGTTTTTATACTGGAAGGCAACATTGTAGAGATAACTTATAAACTTAAAGTGAACCCAACACCAAGAAGTTATTTTTGAGTGGTCAAAAGGATCTTAAGAACTAGTCTTGTCAAAATTGTTCCTAACGTTTTACATATTTTTATGATAACTATGTAGAAAGTATTGAAAAAATAAAAAATCATAACATAATTTACCAATATTTGTAATGGCAAAAAGTGCTGATATACATGGCTAAGTGGTGGGAAAAACAGGATGCAAGATTTCACAACCAGAACATTTTTAGCTGGGTCAACCTTTATGCAAACCAGGTGAGGGAACACAGGGATTACCTCTGGATAGTTTTCAATCTAACCCTCAACTTTCTAAGTGCTACTTTTATGGTCTGAAAAGATAAAAACGATTTGTAATTACCAGTTTAAAATTTGTTTTTCTATGAATAACTACCTCATGAATATACCCAAGGTAAAGTTTAATGTGTCTTGGTTTTTGATTAAACTGAGTTTTAATTTTACATCTATGAAAGCAAGTGCTATTTTACAACTTAAAGTAGTATTTTAAACAAGTGTATATGTTAATAAACAATATTAGACAATGATTTCATGAAATGGAAAGCAGATCTCCTCCCAGTCAACATAACTAAATATGTGTTTTGTGTCTACTTTGTCTGGGAATGAAGCTAGACATGGGGGATTAAAAGAAGGCACATGTCTGATTCTTTTTCTTCACGAGCTTATGACTAACATCAACAAGTATTGATGTTCACTGAGTGCTTGTTTTGTATTACATATCTTCATGTATCTGCATAGATGTTATTATCCTTATTTTACACACAAACTACTGAGGCACACAGCAGTTATCACCAGAAAGAATGTATATATATATATTTTTTGTCAGATTCTCACTCTGTCGCCCAGGCTGGAGTGCTGTGGCACACTCATGGCCACCCCAGCATCGACCGGCTGGCTGGGCTCAGGCCATCCTTCCACCTCAGCCTTCCAAGTAGCTGGAACTACAGGTGCACGCTAACATGCCCGGCTAATTTTTTGATTTATTGTCAAAATGCAGTCAATGATGCAGTCTCGCCAAGTTGCCCAGGCTATTCTTGAACCCGTGGGCTCAGGCAATCCCCTCACCTCGGCCTCCCAAAGTGCTGGGATTACAGGCTTGAGCCACCGTGCCTGGCCAAAACGCGTATTTTAAAAAGTTAACAGCAACTCATTGCAGTGTGTGCGAGTGACGGCTTGAGCAATGCAGACAAAGAATGATGTTTTCATAAGGAAAACTCAGTAAATGCTTCAAGAAGAAAGCCTGAACAGAGTCAAACCTTGGAAGGGCACAATTTAGATGGGCAAAGAATGGACAGCTGGCTCCAGAGAAAAAAACATGGGAAAAACCCCATAGCATAAGGAATTCGCATAGCAGGGGATAATGAGTGATGCATTGCATATTAAGCAAAAGATTCCTGCAGTAAAATGGCTGGAAAAGAAACATTGCAAAGTAGGTTTATCAACATCTTCCTAATGGAGTATCTAAATTCAGGACTCTGTAATGTGTTCTCTTCCCTTCCCCCAATGCCTTTTTAAAGAAACATGCTTACAAGATACAGTGTCCAGGATTAGTTTCTAAATAATCTAGTATGTGTGTGGTGGGAGGGGGCATGGCTGATGATACATTGCTGAGAATATGAGGGTTCGCTATATCCTTCTACCTTTGTATGTTTGAATTTTTTTTCTAATAAAAGATGAAAAGGTCCTTAAAAACATGCCTATTATTAAAGAAGTAGAGGGTGTATATTTACATTTATGCGTGAAATCATTTACAAATGAAAGTCATTTACAAGTATGAAATATATGATATATACAACTTTGTTCTGGGGTTCACAGGCCCTAAAATTTAAACAAGTCTTTTAGATGTACTCAGACTCTGGCCAAAAGTGTTTCTAACTAACAGACATTAACTGTCCCCTATAGCATTCCCTCCTAATGCTTAGCATCTGCTGTCAAGTGATATAACACTGTAGTCAGGGTTAAAGGAAACAGATGTCTCTCTGTTCAGTAAAAAACATAATTGAGATTTCCAATAGAAAAATATTATTAAAGGGAAGGCAGGAAGCTAAGAAAAAGGTAAGCATGTTTAATCACAAATAGAGAAAACGATGATAAAACAGGTGGCAAGTAAAAGCCATTTACCATGTCCAATTTTTTCCCTACCCTCACATCATGAAATCTTCAGGGCTGTGAGCTCTGCACATGCCGGCTGCTCCTGCTGCTTGGGACCCGACTCATCCTTCTAGTCCCGATTCAAGATTAGCCTAAGAAGTATCCCCTGTCCCCACTCTCCACATCAAGCAAAGGTAGGATCTTTGTCTATGCAAGTTACACACAAACTCCCTCTGAGGGCACTCATCAAACTGTACAGTAATGTCTCCTATGTTATTGAGGCTCATCAATCCCTTGTGACTATTAAAATAATGGACAGAGCAGTCACTGAAAAATCCTGAATGAACAGGAACTTGAATACAATTGGCAATAACGAACATCTTAACAAATGCAAGAGCAGAGCACATTACTAAAAAAAGTATACATCAGACTGCTGAATACTATATTCTGCTAACTATCCAAGAGAAACCTCCACATACTGCTCTGCATTTGTACTTACTTGTTAATGATATTTTGGAAAGTCAAGTGGAGAGATGCAAGTTTCCTTATGTGTATGTTAAGGGCCCAGGCTGTAGGGGAAAATAAAGGCCTGAGGTAATTTCTACTCAGAATCCACGTCACCTTCCAGTTCAGATTTCTGTTCTAGCAAGCAGCCAGACTTGAAGGTGCTTAAACACTGAACAGTATGTTCTATTCTGACTTTTAATTCATGAGACATACACACATTCAAAAGGTCTGTGTGACCGAGTAGGCAAGTTAGCTGGCAGAAAATTCTATAATTATTTAAAATAATTTGTTTCCAATGGCAGAATAATAGTTAATTAACTTAATGTGTTTTTTTTTTTTTTTTTGCCATAGGACATGATTACGTTTTAAGACGATAAGAAATTAAGAGCTAAATTAGTAAGAAGTTATTCACACACATGTGAACAATAGGAGAGAGGATACAATTAATTTTATAAAAATGAGTTGTCTTGCATATCATAACTCCTTAGTTCCAATGTATATTGGCTTTCCATATCTGTG